TATAAAAAAAAACCATTTATAAACATTTTATGTTAACTATTTTTGCAAAAAAGGAACTTATTATGTTTACTATATTATATTAATAGTAGAATTTCAATCATTATCAAATCGACAAATTTTATTAAATTTAAATATATTTTTAAATAATTTTTAATATGATCATGATACAATCATCTATTATATTATATGAGTAAATATTCACCATTATACCAATAACAATCTATATGAATATGATGTTTTAAACCATAATTAATTTCTAATTACTTATATAGTTATACACCAGTATCTAATTTATATATATACGGCAGACTTGGGTAAAATACTTGTCTTCGATAAATTAGGAATATTTAAAATAACTATAGCCAATATTAAAATTGAAATGTTATTCGACAAAATATAACCGCTCTGCTGTTCAGTAGATAAGTATTTGTAGTGGAAATTGTGCTAAATTTTAATTCAATGATATGTCATTATTCATTATTATATGTATACGAAAAATAATTTTTAGCTTAAACGGTCTGACAGCCTATATCACTAAGTACCTACTTATTTCGTTATAGTCTATAGATAAGTTTTTTGATATAGCTATTAAATTAATTTATTTTACTACTAGCATCAGTGGCGTATTATTTACGGGGCATAAATCCTCCTAGGTCTTTTTACTTATATAAGATAATTTTACAGAAGTACAGAATACAATGCCTGAAAATGCTAATACTTTATTGTAATATTGAATATTGATTTATTAAGCATAATAAGTATTTGAAAATATTATGGTCAATACTCAATGCTCGTAAATCGTAGTCCTGCAGCTGCTAGTCTCGCTTACTACTAAATATGATTGAAAATGAATCATGTCGTCATTATATTGTCAATGACTATTACCATTCGGCTATAACCATACCACTAATAATAAGGTTTGGTTGCTATTTTAAGGTAATAGTTCATGGATCAGTTGTTAATGATTAACATTAAACAATATTTAAATATTCAGCGACTTGTTTAGTGTTTATTACTTTTATAAGTAGGTAATTAATATATCGAAAATTCAAAATATATTCGAGAGCGAAAGCATGTATTAATATAGGTGTGTTATAAAGTAATAAAGCAAATATATTGTAATATTTATATAATTAGGTATATATTTACTTTTGAGGTTTTAAATAATTCTAACTAATATTTTATTGTTATATGTTTATTCCAGTATAGGTAACTCACTATTGTCGTACATTTGAACTAGTACGCTATTCAGTAGGTACTCAGACGGTTGTCAATTATTTATCATTGACTTATGGTTAAGTTTAATGTTTGACTGTTGGAGACTACGAATACCCATAAACTTTAATCGTGATTTTTCGTTTTGTTTACATTTAAGACCGACTGGTTTAGTGATTTCATTTAGTACTTTATACTAGGTACTAACCTCCTCCATTAAAATTTGAATACATTTACTTTTACTTTACCTACATGTTTTTATTCATAACTAATTTTTGTAAAACAGTTTATTAAGTATATGTGTATACTTACAGATAATATCAACTCTCAATTTTTTTAAGAAACAGTGGTGATGGTGATGGTAAATGTACAATCCCCCTACCCTTGTCAACATTTCAAATAAGCCACCAACTAAGTACTACGGTCAGTTCATTTTATTTTTACTGAAAATAGAAGTTATTATAATATTATTATAGTACCTATTAATAATTATTGTAATAGGTAATATATATTTAAACCGTATTTACTAACTTTTTAGTCAATAACCACCTTATCTTAAAACATTGTAAAATGTTATTATCTTAAAATGAAACTACCTACATCTTTTTTATCTAAGACACAACTTACACTCTGGTCCCTGTGGTATAAGAAGAATGCCTATAATATGTTACAACTTACATTACAGTGACAGTGAATTACGTCTTACTTAAAAAATCGACTTAGAAGTCCTTCTGTTTTTTTTTCACTATTTATAGTATAAATATTATTTAAAATTCATCAACAAATTTTGAAAATATCATTGCGTTAAGTAAAATTTTTAATTAACGTAAACATAAGTTCTCAGGAGTAATATTTTTAAATTAACATAAAATAGGTACCTTATAAACTTCTTATTATTTATCGTTTGTTTACGTGATTTCGCTAAAATTTGAATTTCAAATGTATCCAAATAAAAAAAATGTCGACTAGTGACTACTGACTACGTGTTTTTAATATTTTTAAACCGAAATAAGAACAACTTATGGGGGATCTTGTATACATTTTCAAGAATTTTTGATTTAATTCCTAACTATTTAAATCACCAATCAGGTATATTATTATTTTTAGATTGTATAATGTTATATCATAAGTAATATTAACTAAGGTATGTAAAAAATGAAAAAAAAAATAGAAATTTTGGGAGTTGTTCTGGTATCTTTAGTAGATATAACTTATAAGTTCCAAGGGTACTTCTTCATTGTGTAAATACGTGTAAGGTATGTGTTAAGTTTGAATTTTATAATAATTTGTTGCAGGCAAAAAAACGATTTCAATCTAAGATCTGAGTTAGTCTCTACTTCTAATAAGGATATTTTATAACTTATTTATATTACTATTAAATAGTATTTTTTTTTTTTTAGCAAAATAAATGTAGAATAATATACTGATCTGGATTAATTTAACAATTATTAGTAGTTTATACTATTCGTGTATTATACTGTATAGGTAACCTAGCATCTACCTATATTATTATATGATATTATGATAAATAATTATTATTAACTACCTTACCTATATGTCAGTTGTCAATATCACACACTACATAAGAACCAGCTAATGGAATAAATAGGTAGTTAGAATTAGTCTAAATAATTTAAACATTTTTAAGTGTTGGTATGGTTGTAATATTATTATTTAAGTATATAATATCAATAGCCAATATCCAATATGTATTAGTTTCTATAATTTATATTTTTGAACAATAAAAATAATAAAAATCATTAGAGTAGAATATCATCTTATACTATTAAATTTTGAATGTCCAATGATGTTAAAATTGGAATTTAAATAAGTCATTACAAAATTATTGGGTTTTTGTGTTTTACTATTTTTTTTTTTTTTTTTTTTTTAATCCAGTAAATTTATTAATAAGGAATCTTGAACAATATGTTAAAGTTTTAGTATTAAACTTAATAATTCACTAAAATAGTTTTTAATTTTATAACTAAGAGAAAATACTTAATAACTAGTAAGGCTAATTTAATATGTAATAGGTACTAAATATTTACTAAGAAAATAAATAAAACTTTACATATTTTATAATTTTAAGATGAAACAAAGAGGTTAAACTTAAACTTAAACCATAAAGTTATAAATTAATAAATCAGTATTTATAAAAATTATATAATTATTTAATACTATTAAAATTATTACGTTCTACTATTTTACATTTTTTCAATTAGGTAAATTAAATTTAAACTTATTCAAAAATCCTCATTAAACTATTGTGAAGGTAAATTATATTTTTTCATTGACATTTAACTTTGATTTATTTTAAAAACATTATAAAATATAAATTGCTAACTAAGACAAATAAAAATAAACAGATTGTCTATTTTCATTTAAGTAATGAATAATAATAAATTAATCATCTATGATAAAATGTATTGTACCTATTGGTAGTTAGTTGACCATTAATTAAAGACTTAGATTATAACAATGTAAGTAACTTGAAGGTCATAAAACAATAAAGGTATTTTAAACATATTTAGTAAATGATGAGAATTATGGTCTCTATATATGTAGAATGACTGGAATGTAATACTAATGAATCTCAAAAATAAAAAGAGTACCTATGTTTAATTTAAAAAATCTATTCATAACATAGAACAAACTTAACATGGCAACATACATATCAAATTTATATTGAACAAGAATTGGAGTCAAGTAGTATATTATAAAATGTAAATTATTTACCCAAAAAAATTGAGCATAGTTTACAATTATTGTCTATTTGTTTTGTAGCTAGTGTTATAAATAAATCTATGTTACACGTATTAACTATTGATATTAAACTTATGAATACAGCATTGTTTACAAATCTGTTAGCAAACACAACTTATTCCAATGTTAACAGGAACATTTCTTTAATATCTTGTTCAAATATTAGTTTTTTTATTTCTTAAAAACTTTAATGTGAATGGGAACCATTAATGCAAAAGGAATGTCATATTAATATGTTTAAAACTAATGGCAATAATTATTGTAATAATCTTACAAATTATTTTAAAATTTAATTAACAACTAAATATATTTCTTATCAGTTGCAATGTTTATACAATTAATCAAATAATATTTGATTTTTTATAAATGTTTGAAGACAACATGTATTAGTATAATAGTTCAAGCAAATATATTTATTGATATAACTGATATGAGAATTAGTAAGCCAGTAATTTTTATTCGAACATATTGCACTATAAATTATAAATTGCTATCAAAATTAATATTAAGGTTTAAGAAATATCAAGGCTGTCATCATTCAATAATTTAAAACACTGCTTCAAATATTAGTCTATGAAGTATAATAATTTGAATTTAATTAATTTAATATTATATTAGTACAATGTATCAATGTTTTTTAACATACATCTACAAACATTGTTTGAGTTATTATGATCAACTATAAAACAATTTAAAAAGTTATTAACATTCCAGATAACACATTTAATTTTTTCAATATATCAATGTATAACAAAAACAGTTCTTTATTACATATCAAAAAGTTTAACTCTAGTAATTTGATAAATGAAGAACAATTAAAAAATTAAAATAATTTAATATTATTTAATAATCAATTATATTAAGTACTTTTTGATGATTAAAATATATTTGTTCGAGTAAGAATATTTATATTAGAATGTTTTTATACATATTTTTAAATTTTTATAATTTTTATATTTTAAATATATTTTGAGTCTTTAGTATTTAAATTAGGTAAATAAAATTAGTTTATAATATTTATATTTTAAGAGCACGATACATTGATGCATATAATTTTAATGTTCAACAGGTTTAAAAATTACATGTAGTAACGATAATATTCCATTTAAAATCAACTAACAAACTTATAAAGTAAGTGGTAACATAAATACATATTTCTATACTTCTATTGGCACAATATTTATCATCTAATTTAATTATTTTGAAAGTTCAGATTCAATAGTTTCATCCTTGGTTCCAGTTGTTTCTTTAAATAAATTATAAAGTTGTACAATTTGATCATCTGTGAAAGAGTCTAATACACCATTTTGAGAATCAATATTTTTACCAAAACCAATATCTGATTTTGCATTCTTTAACAGCTGTTCTGATAGTGTCAATGTGTATTTCTAAGTGGAAAATCATTAAATCAATTATTTAAACATTATTAAAAAAAAAACACAATTCAACTAATTAACATAGTTAATACATACACTCCATTCCAGCATGAATGTTCTAGCTTCTTTAGGATTGCAATTTTTATGTCGACGAAATTCATCACGAACATATGTTTGACCTAATTCTTGTAATTCTTTTGGTAAGCCACGGTGTAGCCTTAAAATAGTTTTATACAATAAACGAACTCTTTGTACATGATTTAGACCGGACATCACATAGCATGTCTAAAAATAATTATACATATATTATATATTAAAAATGCACATAATTAATAGTATAATAATAATTGCATATCTAATTAAGGTAAATATTTATCATATTTATTGTTAATATGTCAATTGACAATATTTATTCTGAAGAGATTGCTTCTTAAATAAAATTATTATTTTTTTATTATATACAAATTTATTTTATTAACCTGTTTTATGTAACATAAATATACAGGTAATACACTAATAATTACAATTTTCTAAAACACTTGACATTATAATAAAATAATAAATTATTTTGACAAAAAATAAGTATTATGTTCTTAATGTTCTTATAATTTCTATGAAAAGTATCAAATGAAAATTTAGTTGATTCAGATTGGATGTATTCCAATTTTACACGTATTACTATTCATATTACTGTACGAAAGAGGAAAATAGATACAAAAAATTTCGACATTTAAATATGAACAGACATTATGCTATTGTGGCAGTTTTAATACTTACATAAAAAAATATAAAGATATTTTGAATTTTCTAATATATATATATATATATATATACACTATTTCCTTAATAGATTGTTTACTTTATTCTTTACTTGGTGTCTTAGGGCTTAGTTTATTATTTTAAGAAAAAGTCAAAAATTAAATGTATTACGTTTCTTGGACAGTGGAACTTTAGTGTGATAACAAATATCAATTTTTTATTATCATCAAGAAAACAGTGATAAGTACAATCCCGAAATTTGGTTCATAAAAACCAGTGTGGGTCCGTGCAAAGATGTAAACGGGCATTCGTGCGTCGACCACACCCTAAGTTGGCGGCATTGTTGGCGGCGTGGGTAATGGACTATTGTGATTGGCTGACCGGCCGCGCGGCTACGACTGAACGGCAAACGGCGAAACCGATTCCTAGCCGCTTCAGCAGACCGTCGTTGTTTTCGATGCTTTACGCACACTGACTGTGGATCGTCTATATAATAATATATTCGTGATTTATTTAATTTTTTTTAATTTTGTTACAATATAATATATACATTTATTTTGTATACATTATATTAGGCATTTATATTTGCGTATAACATTTTATTTATAACGTTTATAAATAAAATATATTTTTATACCGTCGGAATAAAACATCGAACTTTCTCGTTCAGTCAACCATTATATACGTTGTGTTTTTTTTGGAAGTGATTTTCGCGGTATTGCAGTCTCATCAAGCAGAATCGACACTGTCTCCTATAATAAATTGTCAAGTGAGTGTTTTTTTTATTTTTACTACTATTACTTTTTTATTTGCCATAAATTTTATTGTTATGCCGTAGTTACACCAGTTACCACCCTTCCCGTATGGGGTTTTCTTTTACTCTATCTTGCCCCTACGGTCGCCATTGTCGGTGGACAGTTTCGCACCTGCCCTTTCCACAGGACAAAATCTGAAACAAAACAGACTAAAACCTTTAAAGGTGTTTTGTTTAAACATACGTTCACGCACACTTACTAGCTTAGCCCACCGTTCAAGTCTCGGCTACTTACAGTCCCCTAAGACTGAGTTATACCTATTACCTTTTTGCTACCACTGTCGTTCCCACGCCCTTGTTAGGATTTTTGTGTTTTTTTTTTTTTTTATCATGTAGACGTTTCAAATCTTATCTCTTTTTTTTTGGGGCGTTGTTTTGTTGGATTTGTCGATTTGAAGAATATTTCTAGGTCCAAGCACCCAGGGATTCTCAAAGTATTCCTTTTATTTTTTTAAATTTGAATAACGTATTTTTATAACCTGTGGGCTGAGAAGTATTTAATATATTGATATATTATGCATTATTGCCATAAAAAAACTTTCCTGTATGCTATATAATTAGTTTATCGTTCGTGTTAACCTTACCTAACAATGAAACGAATTATGTCAATGCTTTGTACTTTAGTTTGAAGAAATACGCGTATTTGTATAAGACAAAAAAAAAAGCAATTAGGTTTAAATATATTATTATGTTGTGTGTTGCTCTCGTAAAGAACAAATTTAAGCAATTTATTTACTCAGTATGAATAGTTGATATTTAATAAGTATTTTTTTTTTTTTTTTATTCTATTATTTAATGGAACCTGATACCCATCAATAAGTCTCAAAAATTATATAAAATTGGACCAGAATGCGTAAAACAAATACCTACATAATTTGTTCTTATTGAATAACATTAAGTATTACCTACCTAGTTCATTTTTTTTTTTTGTCTGTAGTAAGTACTGTTCAGTGACCTCAGACAATTTCCGGACTTGTTAATATTTTGTTCACGAACTTCCGTTAAATCATTTTTTACGCAGAATCGAAATATTTTTAAAAAGTAAAACGTAACCTCTTTTTTGTATTAAATGTTTGTAGTGTAATGCTATCGTTTTAATGTTAAGTCATCAATTTTCAGTGATTTTTCTATATGATAGGTATCTATAACAAGTTAATATATTCAATGTACAAAAAAAAATTGTGATAATCAAATTACATATTATCATTCATGAACATACCAAACTCATTACAATATATTCGATAGGTCAGAGGTGTCGATATAAATAATTTTGCCATAGAAATATATTGTGGTATAAGAGATAATCGAAGAGATAATGTTTAAAAGAATGTCGATGTGGTTTTTTCGTATGCCTCAACAGATTCTTTACTACGCAATATTATACTTTACATCATTTAAATATAATATCGAATTGAAATTTGAAATCCATAAATATTTCTCGTATATGACGTGTAATTAGGTTTTTAGAAACCGTAAATGTATCTAAGGTAGATTAGCTATATTTAGAATTTTTTAGAAGAGATGCAATTTTACGTTTCACTTGAGAGACATGTCTTGGTATACTATTTCGATCGCGTTCACATATTATTAAACATTTCGTCAACTTAATGATCCAAAGCGAATCGGTGTACAAATTAACTTTTCCTAATCGATATTTTCGTAAATAGATTCCAAGACCAATTTGTGTCGTTACGCAACGTTGTAATTCTCCCGACCTTAATACTATATATTTAGTCTAGTTTCCGAATTCCGATTGTACTTGACGACAGTGATGTCGTTACCTATCCTAATTGCCTCATAATTGTTCAGTATGTAATCACGATTGTGTGCTCTAGTATGCCTGTACCGGTTGTTGATTGTTATGGCGTCGTTTTTAAAAAGAAAATAATTAACAAACTTAAAAATTCTCTCAAATCATTCATTTTTCTTACATATTTTATAGTTTTATACAAAGGTCTTTATCGTCGTGTTGTTTGATAATATATCGTTTATGGCATAAATTCAATATTATTTTTATTGTTAGTTCATGACAATATGTTCTCTTTCGGGACGACGGGCTGACCTTGGGTACCTGTAGTTTTCCGGTCGTCCTTTCCTTGTGGACAGCAGGTATATATTTTTGGATGCGGGCGTCCGTGTACCCAGTATTCCCCGTCGTGTTTCTCGCGTATGTTTTCACCAATATGCCCATAGATTAATTTTTACTAGGACAAATAAAATATATTCCTTTATCCTTCCCAGTCCTTAGTACGTAGTAAGAGCAGCAACAACAACAGCAACCGCCGCCGCCACGCCATAACTCGAACCCTCTGCCTTCTCCTCCATGCTTGACTGTATAGTATAATAATAGTTGTCCGTGAACACGTTTTCGAACCCCTGTCCGTTATAATGGTACTCTATAACAATAATCGGGATGCGAACTCGGCCGAGACCGTGAAGACAACATGCGACTGCGCGAGGCGCGCGCGCACGGTTCACCGGTTTTGCGTCGTCGTCGTCGTCGTCAATACCCGTCCCCCGACCATCTGCAGCTGCTTGCTGTTTGTTACTCGGACACCACTACCACCATCACGCGGCATATTATATTTTATTCTATAATATACTCTACTTGGTGTGATATAACGTTTCGTCTTCAAGAATATGCATGCGTACGTGTCCGCGCCCTCGATTACTGCATTCAGGTATCCGGTGCAGGCGTAGTAGTGTGAAAGGGCGTGGATAAGTATTATTTTTTACTTTGTTCCGCGATAGCATAATATATTTTATGGGAAAAAAAAACTTGGACATTAAACACGTGACCTAAATAATAGTGATAATAATAATAAAAATATGAGTTGTGTGTGTGAATAACCCCGTCAGCGAAACCAATATAATATTGCTATACAGTGTATAGTATACTGTTCACATAGTAAAATGCGCCTTGTGGGAGGGTGTGATCATGGCAGGGGTGCGTCGCCCCGCGGGTTCGCTGTGTGCGGGAGCCGTGTGTTTAATGCTGGCAAACGCGCGCACGCCCGTCGCCGTCAACCATTGTCGCACAGACGAGTTTTTGGGGTGCGTCTGTCTGCGTATGTTTATACTTATAAATGCGTTTGTAATACTACTCCTATACTGATGATGGGTGGGGTGGCTTGCGTCTGGTAATGGATGGGGCAACCCTATTCTGGTTGACCACGTACTGTCGTTCAAAATATCGTAAAAACGAATTTATATCCTTGTATACGGGTAAACGAAAAGTAAAATATTTGTGTTTTATTAATTGTCTATCGTCCCTCTACATTTATTATATCTACCATATATGTGGGTATATATTGTATATTTGTATGTTCAGTGTTTTACCCTTCTTAAATAGCCATTATGTAATTTGTTTTTTGGGTTTTATCTCTTTAAAACCTTACTATATTTTGTCTAATTTGACATGTTTTCATTTTTTATTGTCCTTTAATGATTGTTAATTCAAATAAATTGCTTCTATAGTTTTTATACATACGTTTTTGCTCGATGGACTATAACTCACATGCATGTAAATTATTAATTGGAATTGTTTTTTATTTGTATTTCGATTTTTCTACAAACTATCAAATGATTATTGTTTTAACTTTTATTTTTGTAATATCAATCATTAAATTGGTTGTATTTATCGTTAACACAAACACTACTCAAAACTGAATGTAAACACTTGTAACTTAAGTCTTCAAGTTCTAATTTAAAAATAATTACTTTATCTATTAAAAGTGAATAATATCTTGTGTATGTGATACGTCAACGACTCAACGTTAAAGTCTCTGCTTACTATGTTTTTCTCAACTTACTATTAATTATATATTCAATTGTTTTTTGTTAGATAGTTAGAATTTTTAATTTTATGACAATTGACGTTGTTATTAAAAAAAACTGCTATAAATGTAACAAAACAGCTGTCTGATACCAGTCTGTACACCAGTAGATGTAATTTATTTTGGTGTACATTGTATACGAGTATACAACGTAATATATTCCTACCGTCTGATAAACATATGTGTGATTGGAGATACGGTTTATTTTGCTCCTTGACCTTAGATATTTGAATACTATGCGTCGTTACTCGTTATACCGAAACCAAATCGGTTCTGATGAGTCATGTCTACCAGGTTCAATAGAAAATCTTTCATTTCATTTGACCCGCGTGGGCAGTCAAACCTGTTCCGTGTATACTGTATACAGATTATCTTCAGAATGGTTTATGCAGTATATCTTCTAATAAACGATAAAAAAGTTTAAGTAGATGATTTTTATTTTTATCGGTGTTGAGTGTTTTTAAAAATAATTTTACTGCGCCCTCCTACGAAATAATATAATCACACAACAATTCATCTAATTTTAAATCTACCCCTGGCGTGATGAATTTTGTTTCATTCTCATTTTACGACGTTGTTTATAGTAGCACACCGTAAAATGGCTATTTTGGATCGTTCTACACACAACAAAAAAACAACCCCTCATCTAATTTCTATAAATATAATAAATATCTTGGTGTAATACCGCGTGGTGGAATGTGTTCATCCTTTTTTTCGGAAGCATATATTTTGAAATCGACTGGCAACAGCAGACACATTCCATTTTTTTTTTTTTTTATAGTATTTCGTATAAATTTAGGTAATGGCGCCGTTTAAAATATTTTTGGACGTTGCGCGTCGTAAATTGTGATTATATTATATTATTATGTTAACTGCCGACATCGGTTGTCAATGCTGTCATCCAAATTCGTGCAGGAGCCATATGTTATCGAATCAAACAGTCGGTATTGTAATACAGAAACTAAATGCGTCATCGTGTGTGGTAACAGCAGTGGTGCCCTAGTTATATTTATTATTTTTACTGTCGAATAACTATAGAATAATATTTAGGATTAATATTATTATTGTCCTAAAGACTGATAATTTTATAACTGCTACTGCTATCAATAACTAATAGGT